ACTACGTAAGAATTACCACTTACTTCATTTGATTTCCACGGCCGGATAAAAGAACGAAGGCGGTGTCCTCGAAGAGGCTATTTGCTTTCAATATTTCCAGTGATCTCCTGAATATGAACGGGAATCGGCTTTTTGAATCAACGTGTCATTTGACCATTAGAGACTATCACAAAAGAATTCTGACTTTACTTCAAGGTCCAGTAGTGAGAGATACTCGGAATGTTCCTCCGTGAATGCTCGCATAAAATGCACTGAGAAATGACAGCGATCTCCAAAATGCAATAGTGTGTTCCTCCAATTTTCCAAGTGTTCGTAGGAGGCGACCTAAAATGAAAATAGAGTAAATTGAAATCTCTGTAGTGTTGCCCTTACTGCATGTTTCAATTCCACTCACATGACCATCCGGGGAACAAAAACCTCTGGCTGTTTGTTGACTGTAAGAGTAAAACGGTCGGAGATCGTACTCAACATCAATGCTCATATTGCCAAGAAGCGAATGAGAGTTTCCCAGTTCTTCGCTCAGGTACGTTAAGCATTCGCGATCTGTAATTACAGGGCATGGAGCTCTGGTACGGGCAGCATATTAGAAGTTCCAAGGTAAAGCAGGGCAGAAAATGTGCCATAGTCCTGAGAAATCATTTACAGAACTTCTCTTCAACCTCCCTACACAACATTGTGGCTTGCTAATGAAGTGCAACTTATGTTTAACACGTTCCGGACCGCGTGACACACGTGGTGTGCCATGAATTCGTCGCTATGCAGCGTTTTATTGGATTAATGTGGACTTTCCATGTTCGACTTTCGATGAATCTTGGCATGATACTATTGCATACAGTATGTGATATTATTAAGCTGGTGGCCAAGATTGTTAAATACTTTTATTAACGGTTGACGTTTCGGCGTCGTCGCCTTCTTCGGAACCTGGAAAGTCGAAAAGCATTCAGGAAACCCTTCGTTCAAACACTATTTCAACTACAGGAAAACTCCAAAAGGGATGTAAACTACTAAGACGACGTCATAGAAGCCTTAGGATTAATTTGGCTCTTCATTCATGTTCCACTGCTGTCAAAACATCTTGTCGGTTACGGAGGATTCTTATCTCATTAAGCGATTGTAAACAGGGAGGAGCAATTCGTGAGTAACTGCCGATGAAAAATGATTAAAATGACCAGGAGAATGTGCGGGAAATACGGCGGGTCCGCGCCATGTACTTAATTCTACTCGGTTTTGGCAACTATTGTGTCCCAGGAAGAAATGCTTAGCTTGTACTGTAACTTCAGTCGTGCGGCTTATGCCTAGCTTTGTAGGAGTTACTGAAAAAACAAAGAGAGACGGGTTAAATGAGATGCAGTCAGGATTCTCAATTGTTCTTAACTTACCGGCTAAACCCAACAACAGCACACACCTGCCTTTCTCAATTACGTCCCAAAGAAATCTCCGTCTTCATTTCGATTTGTACCTCCTCGCAGAATGTTCAGAAGATTCGCATTGGAGTCGTCGGACATCTAAATCGGTTGAACGCTTGATATCTGAAGACTAGATGCTTACTTTAGTACAAAGCGAAATCTTCAGTTCAATGGAAAGTACACAATTTACTAAATTTTAGGGCAAGAAATTGCGTTTGTTGATTGGTTGCAGTTTTCTCCTCTCACAATACTGCACCTTGCTCTTGGGAGAAATTGTCGGAAATTTCAAACTGGTCACGCTGACCTTTCGTAAGTAGCCTAGCCCAGATGCTGTTTGAAATCAGACTTGATAAACAGCTGGATAGCTTTCGGCTATCACAAATGATAGGTAAGGTGGCAGTACAGCTGCATGTTTATCGTTAGTGAGCTCTCATATCACGCTCCTTTGCTCTTTTTCACTTCTATCTTATCTACTCTGAAGAAATCACTAGAGTTATGGATGAGATTGTGTGGGGAAAAGAGCTGATCTGGTATGAGATGCTGGCTACTGCGCGCCATCATTTGGCTCAGGCTCAGTACAGCTTCAACTGGTGGAAAAGGCTGCCGTGGCTGTTCTGGTCCAAGACGACTATTTGGCTTCAACTCAGGACGGCATCCACCCGCGCGCCCTCACACGCCCTCCCGTTTGTAGGGATAAAGGATAAACTCTTCATCGTTGACCAATTCCTTTTCGGTATGCAGTGT